CCGGTTCCCTCCGTGGCCGCTTCCGGGGACCGCCTCGCCTCGTCACCGCGGCTCGCGTCTTAATTATTATTCTTCATTTTGGGTTTTTTCCCTTTTTTTTTTTTTCTTATTTTGGAGTCGCTTTCTTTCCATGAGCAGAAATAAATTAGAGCGTAGCTCCCCTGCCGGCGCCGAACCGCGGTCATTCCTCTGCCCTTTGCCTTGGAGGGCTTCAAACCACGACAAGATCCAATCTCCCAAGGGTTTGGTTGGGTTCCTAGTTGGGTTGCCCCAGTTCGAAGCGCAGTTGCAACCCCTCCTGCAGTTAAAAATATGCATTTTCCCAGTGCCAGAATCCCCAAAATCCAGTAAAAAAATGCCTCGGGATGGTGGTAAGCACTGAGCCTTCACCAGCCGAACCCTTTGGTGGCTGTCACTTGGGACAACCAAGAGCGTGGTGGCACCAAACCCACCTTTTTAACCCCAAAAGGCTGCTCCGCTTGGACCGCAGGAGAGGGTTGGGTCCCAACACATCCGCAAGGCTGCTCCAAGTATCTGCTGGTGGACCCCACAGAGAGTCCCAAGGGGCACCCCCAGCCATGGCCACATCCCACCCACCCGAGCAAGGGCCAAGCCAGGATGGTGGCACACGGGGCGGATCAGCAGGGACCGTGGCCACGGGGGGATGAGCCTCCAAGAAGTCCTGCAGAAGGCCCAAAATCCCCAGGGCTGGGCTTAAATAGAGCCCTGGGGCGGTGGGCAGGGAGTGGTGGGGGTCCCAGTTGGGGGCGGTCAGGGTTGTTAATGACCATTAGTGCTCTCAACCTCCAAAATGGTTGGTTAGGGTGGCTCTGCAGCATGTCTTGAAGGTGTTCAGCACATCTCCAAGGGGTTCAGGTTGTCTCCAATGGGATTCAGCACAGCTCGAAGGACCTCAGCACGTCTTGAAGGGGTTCAGAACATCTCCAAGGGGTTCAGGACATCTCAAAGGGGTTCAGGACATCTTGAAGGGGATCAGGATGTTTCCAATGGGGATCAGCACATCTCAAAGGGGTTCAGGATATCTCCAATGGGGTTCAACACATCTCAGAGGGGTTCGGGATGTCTCCAATGGGGATCAGCACATCTTGAAGGGGTTCAGCACATCTCTGGGGGGGGGTTCAGAACATCTCCAAGGGTCTTGGCCACTTCCCAGGCAGCTCCCTGGAGAGATGCAAGCAGCACCAGCACGTTGGAGGGCTTCCCGGGGCAGAAGAGCAGACCCTCCCCTCCCACCCCATGGATTGGCTGAGCACCCCAAGTCAAGTGCAAGCCCCCCAACCCCGGGGCACGCTGCTCCCTCAGCCACTGTCCCTGTGCCCACCCTGGGGACAAGGAGCCGGTGCCAGCCCCGTCCCCACCCTACACCTCTGCCATGGGGCAGAGACCCCCAGGCACAACCCCATTTTTGGGGGTCCAACCCAGGAACCCCCTGCCCAGAGCCCTCCTGAACTTGGCTCTGCTGGAGCAGAAGGTTCTGAGGAAATATCTGTGGGGTGGGGGGGAGGGGAACGGTGCCAGGAGGGGAATAGGGTGGGGTCTTTATTTTTAGAT